AACATTAGCACATGGAGCTTTGGCTCTAGTAGAGACAGCTAAAACTGGAATAGAAACTAGATCACAATTTCCACACTTAATAAGGCAGTAAGTCAGCTGTTGCCATGGGACAGAGCTGGTTGAATTGTCATAACTGTTCCATAGGCATAAATCTTAGACTTGCGCCAGATGCTTCATGCTGTTCCTGCAGTCCAAAACAGCTGGAAATTCAGCTTAAAGGATTTCTTTTCTAGAGAGAAACTACAGGTGGCATAGAGTTGAGATAATGTGAATTTGATGGGAAGAGACATCATACACTCCAGCTCCAGCATCACTGTTGTGGCTTCACGATACACATCTGACCCTGGGGTTTGTACCATGATAGGTAAAAACTGCAGTTCAAGGCACAGGAAACAATCTTACAAATTGATGTAAAGAAGTGAAGCTGGTTCTTTCCCTTTTTATGAATGTGCTTTGCCATAGTAACTTTTGCTTTGCTGCCTTTTTCAGTTTTCATGGATTTTTTTCTTTGCCCCGGAGCTTCAATTTCGGGGTAGTATTTTGCCTGGTAGTATAATCAGTTTGGACTCTGGACTCCTTTTTAACTAGCTTTTAGAAATGATAGTAATATCAAATGCAGATGAATCTGCTTGTTCTGTATCAAATTGGGACAGATTTATCTGAAAAATAGCAATTATGTGGTGGATCCCCATCTAGCTGATGAATCAGTTCTCAAATGCAGATGGACCTTTGCAGGATAATCTTTCCGAAGAAGGAATAGCTACGGTTAAAACACATTGGAAAACGCTTGCAAGGAATCCCCTGTGAGTAGAATTGTTACTAAGCTAAGGCGGTGGATCTACATGTTAATATTATTTCAAGCAATAAGAAGTTTACATTAAAAACTCATAAGCAGTGAAACATGACAGCTCTCACTAATTTCTCATATGGTGCTTTACTGTTTGTAAATAACAAAAATTTTACTAGGCCATTTCAGGTTTGAGGCTTGTTCTGAGCTTAAGGGTCAAGAAATATGTACCGTATGTAGTAAGCCTTCCGCAGAGGGTCTAAGCTGAATAAAACAGAAATAACACCATCACTGAGGCTTTGTTTACACCCAAGAGTTTAACTATGTTCATGTAGCTAAAGCAATATAACTGAATGAGCAAGGATGATGGTTGGCTGGTTAGAATCTGTTTATGGGAATGGAAGTAAATTATAGTGCTATAAGCTGTATTTATAGCAATATAACCAATAGGGTTGTACAGAGGAACTACATTGCTAGAAGGAAAAATCACATCCCTCACTGGAATAATCATGTTGTACTTCTATGTGGGGGCCAGGCCTAAATTAATTGCAGTTGCATTTCTGAGTACTTAAACCAGAAAGCTGCTTCAGTAAAGGCTTTCTTTGGCTCTGAGAGGATTTAACACCGAGAGGCATTGAACATCTGCATCTTCACTGAAGTCTGTGCTGTTTAAGGTGCTGTAAGCCATCACAGCCCTGTGTTTCTGTATTGGCTCTAAATCTCATCGAAGTCAGCAGGAAAATGCTTGGGTGGCTGCAGGACAGGAGCCTCTTAAAAGACCTTTGTTAGCCTGGTATATCTTGTTTTCTGACAAACCAGGTGCACAGTCAGTAGGAAGCAGTTTATCCTGAGTGCAGAAAAATGTGCCAAAGTGTGATCCTATGTGACAATCACAGGGGCAAGCTGGGACATAAACCAAGTTTTGTTCTGTTCAGTAGTTTTATTTCTGCTTTTTGCTTCCATAGTCTGCACATAACATAAGATTACAAGCCTAAGCAAAGCACCACCACCTCTCTCTGGGGGCTCAAACAAGCCATTGAGTCTCCCCAAATATGAGTTTAAATACGTGTGAGAGGAATGGGCCATCTAAAGGGCTGTTCCCACAAGAGCTTTCTCTGGCATAATACTTCACTACTACTTCTCAGAATACACTGATCTGAGGACGCTGAAGAGAGGGCAGCACAGAGATGCCAACATGTGCTGAAGATGTGAATTTAGATGGAAAGAAGACAATTAGGCATTCCCTTTTTTTTGGGGGGGAAGGGGGTGGAACTAATAATGTAAAGAGTTTCAGATTAAACACACCCAGCATAATAAACTGATCGTTCTGCTGAGTTGAGGACTAAACTAAGTTTGTTCAGTTCCTAAGTTGAGTCAGTGGTGTTTCTAATAAAAACTAGTGGTTTATTTTAATTGGAAGTAAATATCCCATTTTCAGGCGTTTCATTCTTTAATCTTTGGTTCACATCTCCTTTAAACACTTTCCTCCGAAGTGGCAGCTCAAGCTCATCAGATTCCATTACTATTTCCAACATACTACCATTGAATTTTGGTTTGGCAGATAGATTTTCTATTAATGCTTTTCAGATGGAGGTGACTTCAGATTTTGGTGGCAAATTTTTTTCTGTAAGGGGACTTTTTATTACTGGGATCACAGAATAATTTTACTTTACATGATTTTTGCCTTTCCTTTCTCCTCTCTGATAATATTCATCTTAGGAGTGAGACCACTGCTGGATTCAGTGGGCTCTGGGTCAGACCCTGAATTTGCTTACAGTCATTACAGGATCTGGTTTGAGACTTTCTAACCTGCATCTTCATGACCCTCTTCATTTTAGTTCCATCTCACAAGACCTACAGTATATTTTTTTCTTATTAAGTTTCCATTTAACATTGCCACAGCTGCTGCTGCCATAGAAGAAGGAAGAGAAACACCCTTTCATAGGGTTTCTGCACATACACACATAGAGTAATTATGTGGGGGGACGACCTGTGCAGACTACCTGGTCCACCTCCCACTCAAAGCAGAAGTTAACTTCAAAGTCAAGTCCAACTTCAAAGTTAGATTAGTTTTCTGAGGGCCTTACCCAGCTGAGTTTTGAATATCTGCAGTGATGGAAATTCTGTAACTTCTTCAGCCCCTGTTCTTGTTCTCAATTTGAAGAACTCTTTTTTTATACATACATGGAATTTCCCTGCTTTGCTGCAGTTTTTAAATTGGATTGAGATTTTTTTTAAATTAGAATATGGAGTGAGTTCTAGAAGGATTTTTCTTCTCTTGGAATAAAAGTCCACACTTGAAGATAATCCTATATAACAATAGTCAAACAAACCCATACACAGCAATTTTGGAGGCAGCAAAGAGGTGTGGCAAGCAGCCAGTCTAAAAGATAAATACTGAAGTACCTCTTTCAGTAGTAGAAAGAAGTAGTCATGGTTACAAACACAACGTCTAGAAGATGGGTTTTGGTAAGAACAGGCCCTTAGTGAACTTCTTGGGGGTTTTTTTGGTGTTGCCTTTTTTTTTTTGCACCACAGGGCAAAATTCTCCACACATGACTGCACTGTGATACAACATTTCCTTATTTTGGAATATTTCCCTATTTAAAATAATGAAATTTTATGCCATGACAGGTTAATAAGGTTTAAATACCCCAGTCTTTAGGGACAATGCTCCAAGATGAGGGAATACAGATGCTGCCTATTCCAAATGTCTGAAAAATAATTAAAAGACAAAAATCACAAAATGTTAATTTACAGAGTGATGGGATTTAATTCTGGCTTGACTGAGGCCATCAAGAGTTGTGTGGCTAAATCTGTTGTCAGCTGTAATAAACACTCTTTCTGCTTCAATTTATGTGAACATTTGCAGCTGTTGAAGAAACAGGCATCTTTGCCTCTTAGTGAAACAATACATAAAATGAATTACGCTAGAATAGATGATGTGCAAAAACGGGTGACAGAGCTGTGCGGTAATAGATTGACTTATGGAAGAAAGCGTGAGGGACCTACTTTTTTGTATTGATTGCCTCCTACAGTCATTGGATTGTGAAAGTGGAGCTCATTTAATGGAAGTCCTTGAGAGCGAAAAAGAAAAAAATCATATGTGGTTTTATTTTCTAGTCTACATGGAAGTGGTATTCATGTAATTTAGAAGGATCCACTGAATCAATTTTCAGCAACGTACAACACATACCAAAATTTATTAAGAGGACTGTGCCATCCTGCTTTTGTCTGTCTGCTTAATTCATTACAGACATGAACACACGCCATGTATTATTTAAATGTGTAAGTTGACGCATACAATTTATAAGATTTAGATGTGGAAAGAACATTAATTATACAACAGAAAGCTTTCAGCATGCTTCAGAGTTGAATGTTCTTAATGCAAAATGAAGATGCACATTAACCTTAAAAAATATCAAAAGGACTTGGTGGGTAGTTGGATAACTGAGCAGACCGTCATGCCCGTTTGTCCTGCTCTCAGCAGTGAACTTAGTGAAGATCTCGCTGGGTAGTACGGAAAGCACATGTGGGCTGAGCTGGAGGACCAGGACGGTGTGTTTGTATGACTGTTTTCTGATGAATCAGATTCAGATAATCCATGTAGTGAAGCTACTCTTTACTGTGACCGTGGCTCTTTCAAATTTGATTTGAACTCAGCTTGACAAAGAGGTACAGGTATCAAATGAAATAGCCACAACTGTTAAAAATACGGGGTTTTGATGAGAGGAAGGAGGCCAAGCCACCCAGAGCCTTTGCTGACACTAACAGGAACGTACAGAAGTGCCCCAGCCAGTAAGAAAGGTTTCCTACTGAGTCTTGAGTCAACCCCAGAAACCAGATGCAGGGAAAACTGGCCTTTTCTAGTTCTGGTGTTCAAAGAGCAACTTTTTTTTTTTTTAAGCATAAGTACAGATATTGTGAAATGTTACTCTAAAGTGAATATAATACAGTATTGATATTCTTTTTAAGAAGGTTGAAATCGGGATGTACCAGTTTAGCAAAGGAAGCTTTCAAAATGGGCATGACGCTTTTTTTCTTTTAGCTGAGCACTTCAAAAGCCACCAAAATAGCTGTTACCTTCTGTCCTGGAAACTGTCAGGAACCTATAAATAAACATAAAATAATGCAGGAGCAGGAAAAAATGTTATGCCAGCAGTTAATGTTGTTGTTATTAATTCTGTTGTTTCTTTTTTTTTTCTTTTTACAGTGTATCCTATTCAGTGCATGTCTCCGAGGATTACCCAGGTACAGTGCAACATTCTTGTCCATGACACATGTATGCATGTTACCACAATTTGCTATATTCAGATGAGAATATCTGAAAGGGTGTTGATGTCTTCCAGATGCATCCTTGTGCTAATAATTTTCCATTAGTTGGATTATTTTCAGTCATTTCTCCTTTTCAGGTGACATTTATCAGCTGGGTCAGGGTGAGAAAACCTGGTTCACAAGTTTACAGAGACCAGAGCTTGTGATGCTTTCCGTGTCTGGAGCCAACAGTGATAGGAGTGAGAAAGTGCCCAACTCCTCTTTGGCATGGTAGATAAAGCTTGATCTTTCAAGAGGCTGAGCAGTCTGGCACAGGGCCAGCAAAGCACTTCTGCGTTAGACCTTAATGAGACTACTCACGTTCTTCAAGTTAAGCCTGTGGACTGTGCATTGATGCTTCTCAGGGTCAGTTGGAGCCAAGGGTTTCTGTATGGGTATGTCTTTGGTAACGTAAGCTTGCAAAGCTGTTCCCAGCTGCTCAGTCCTGCCTCCCTTTCATTCATACTCTGAGCTGGGCTGGCAAAAGCATTTGTGTAACTGTGCAGCCAATCTAGACAAGGGGAATTAGTCATGTGAAAGAGAACCAGGCGAGAGCAAAAGCTAGTTTTCAGCTAGCTTATTTCCCTGATTTCCTTCACAAAGAGACTGCACAGATACTTCAGCTGGCATAGAGGTTAGCAGAAGCAGGAGAGGGAAGCCGGCAGACAGGCGTTGTGCAAGGAAAGGTACATGGTCGTACTGCTGGATTGCACCACATTGTGTATTTTGCACCTGGGAGTATTTAATAGTGTAAGTACCATGAATGATATGAAACCCTCTGGCCTTTTTTGATCTTTATCCATAACATCGCTGTAATATTTCTAAAAGAAGTATTTCTGGTTTCTTTTAGAATCTCTAAAGAAGTGAGGCTTTGATCTTCTTCACTGATAAGCAGTAGACTATGTCTGTTCAAAACACCAGTGTTTGAAGCAGATATAGAGAGAAATCAGCATCAGCAGTGATGCTAAATACAATGGATAATATGAAAGAATGCTAACAACCTTTATGACAGTTATTTTTTTTACCAGTAAAAACTGGAGGGAAAACTGCTACTAATAATAATCTGTTCAACATGTAGTAAGGGAAGAAACTGAGATTCATAAAATACAGAGTCATACCAGCTGTAAATTGATTTAGTGATTACAACATTGACCTGACAATGAACAGAGGGACAAATAGTTGGAAAAAATCTGCATCATATGTTATTAACAGTTTGTTTTATTAAACGTCAGTAATGGATTTATTCATTTCAGGGACTAAGCTATTATGAAGCCACAAAACTTGGTCTCTGGGAACCCCTAACTAAATGGCAAGCTGGAGCACTGAACCAGCAGTTACTCCCACAGCACATGAGATCTCATCTCCTGGCAGAATTCTGTCTGACAGACCTCAAACTTCCCTTACGGATGCTATTTGCAGCATGCCCTGATGGCCTGCAAGCCTGAGTGACTTTGGTGGCTCTAGAACCTAATGAATATTCTCTGCCATCACTCCCCATATTTTAAAGCCAGATAGAATTTGAACACTTTACACTGTAGCTAACTTGGTGAGGGGGGCGTAAACCAGCTGCACATTTACTGATCAAGGCTTTGGAAGAGCTGTTTTCATGCGTATCTCAAGCTTTTGCAGGATCTATGTTTGCTTTGTGTGTTAGGAATGAAAATGACTCTTTGCCATTTTACAGCTTTGATCGTAAAAATACTCATTTGACTTGGTGAGCCAGATTCTTTGTCTCCTCTCTTTGTCCTAAATCTCTAACTTAACATTACTGCTGATTGTGGCTCTCTTGTCTGGCATGTATTTTAAGAGGTGTTTCAGGGACACATCAGGGTGCAATGGTGTCAAGTCTGGGAAGCTCTGTGCTGATGTCCTCCTCAGCTGGAAGATGATCTTCAAGTATTGCTGCTAGCTGATAGAGTTCAGAGCAACACGCACTCATCAAATTAAATTTCTCACAGGATGAATCTTTACAGATCAAGGTTTAAGTCCATTAGTGCATAGCCATACCAAAGTTATATCCTCTGGAGATTAAGAGTGTGTAATACACAGTGGATCAAATTTGGAAATCCAAGAGAAGGCTATCAGAGTTGATCATCAGATATATTGCTAATGCATGCAATAAATATATGAAAATAGAAGAGATTAAGTTAGTATAGAAATTATGTTCATTCAGCCAAAAGTGATACCACCACAAGTAAATTTTAGATACTATAAGAAGAGCTTTGGGTACTGCATATACTCTAGCTCCCTGCATCGCTGTTATGTATGCAGCGTCACTGCTTTGGCACTGATAACAGCGTGTAGCTATTGCTGAATTGCTTCATAAAGCATCAAAAGATTACAAACAGCTGAGCATTAAATCATACCTATGGGAACCGTAATATGACATGACAACTTTCAATAATGGAAGGTGTTTGAAAGTTTCATAATTATGAGTGAAAGCTAAAAATATGCTCACAAAGGCACACTGAAGAACTTAATAGGAATAGTGTTGAGACAGTAATGTCTCAAAGTTATATATACATCACTGAAATTGTGAAAATATCACTGAAAATTTTAGAGGCAGGTAATAACAGTTCCAGCAAAATATCTCTGTAACTATTTTCTGATAACATTGACATGAAAAATAATGCTCCTAAGGAGCAGTTATAGAATATAACATCAATGAATAGACTGAAGTCCCGTTAATATGGGTGGATCATGACTCCTGTGAGAACCATTACAGCAGCAAGCATTTTGCTAATGAATATATGTTCGGAGTGATACATGTTGGCTGCCATAAACTTGTAGAACTGCTGTAGTCTTTTATCCCAGTGATTTGTGGGTTACACACGTGTTAACAGAAATCCTTTTCCTTAGACATTGTTAGATTGCAGCAGGGACGGAGAGAACCAGTTTGGCAGCGAATGGTTTGCTGCATCCCTCCACTAGGTCCAGGCGCTAGGTCCTCCGCTTAAGAGGAGAGGTGTTCCTGGGTGTAGTGTGTTAGAAACTGGATGTTGAAGAAAGCAAATCAAAAACAGTATCCTAATTTCCAGTTTCATTAGACTGATGGGAGGAAAGGAAAAAATTCTAATGGCTGCCAAATACAAAAGAAAAACAAAAACTTGGCAGTGAAAATCGTATTATCCAGCTGCCAAGAAAGAACGACAATGGGCATAAAAATATAATTAAAATCTATAAAACCTGTAATTGAGCAGTCCTTTTTTCCATATATGTATATCTTGGTAATTATCTATTCTGTACAGCACATATTGTTGTTTTTCCCATTTTTCATACAGCAGTAAGTTCTAGCACATGGATTTCCTTTCTCCCATCCATATATATGGGGTTAGGTATATTTAGAACCAAATGGTGGCCTCTCTTATTCCAGCTCATTAGACTCTATAGCAGTGAGTTACACTCCCAAACCTGGGAAGGGAATGGGCCTGTGTTGTATATGCCCAGAGCCATCCAGCATGGTGAGCCTGACACTGAAATGATGACAGCAAGGTGGAGCATGCAAATAGAGGCAAGGCAGGGATTCGTGGAGAGGGTGAAATGCAGCTGTCCTGGAGGCATAGTTGACAGGCTGTCCTGCCGATAGACAAAAGTGGGAGGAGGAGCGAATGCTGGCAGATGGCTAGAGGAACCCCATTTTATTTGCACGAAGCTGTGGCTCTAAAACATATCCCTGTGCCAAGCGCGTAGCCAAGCAGACACAGACTGAGCTGATGGAGCAGGTTGCTGTGCCCACTGGAGTGCAAAGCTCAGGGAAAAGTGGTGTCAGCCTCCTGCAGCAATTGCCTGCACGCAATATATGTATGTTGAGCTGAGCGCAGATCACTCAGATTACCTCGTGGGACAGCACAGGAGTGGAAGTAGGCGAAGGTGTGGGACAGTGTCAGACTCGGTAGATGTGTGTGAATGTGGCAGAAAGGCTGTTTCACAGGTGGCAGGCTGGGAAAGCCCCACGCACCTCTCTGTGTGCGGCAGTGCAGCTGCTAGTTTGCAAAGGCGGTGTGGCACACCTGTGCGAGAAGGGGGTGGCAGTGCCGGGGCTTCGTCTTGATACAGGCTGCTGAGAACCTCTGTAATACAAAGGATAATATTACTGAATATACTGCTCAATTAATGTTAACATCTTTAACATTTCACTGGAAACACTGTGGTCAAAGGCTTTGAGATTGCAGCAGTATGCTTAAAATGGCATGTGAGTTCATGCACTTTGCTGATGTGGGACCAGAGTGTTCAGAATTATGATAGACCAAGTCCTTGTTTCAATTCTCTTATTTGCCTCTTTATCTGTGATTATCTTAATTGTCAGCCTTTCTGCTCTAGAGCATAAGTTTCAATTCAGCCCAGATCAGTAGAAAACAAAATCTTATTACCTTCATAGGCAGTTCAGCAATTTATGCAAAATTAGCTTCATACTACATAAAAACTTGCTGCTCCTTGTTTGCTGTTACTAAACATTTGGTTGGAAAGCAAAAAAAGAAACCAAACCAAAAAAACAACACGCAACCTCCTCAGTCTAATCCCTACATTTTGGAAGAAAATTTGGGATAGACTTTCCATATTCATATCCATACCTAACATTTTTGTTAAGTGGGAGGAATTTTTTTTTTTTTCTCCTGAATCAGGCACAAGAAAGGTTATCCACTGATTAGAAGATACTTCAAACAACCTTTATGTGACTAGGCAAAATGAGGCACAGGTACTTCGCATAATGAGCTGTTAACACCCAGCTTTGAATGCAACCTTCAGTCTGCACAGCTTTCAGTGCAGTTTCAGTGTCAGGCATGGCAAAAAGCATAGAACAAGTCTTCATTTTGGAAAAGGTTGGCTCAAACCCCCATAAGCCTTGTGGGACGGTTCAGAGTAGTGCTTGGTGTGATTCACGAAAGCCATGACATCATACTCCAGGGGTTTGCTTGTATAAAATTTGGGTCCGAATCTTCCATCCTTTTGGTATTTTTCTTTTCGTTAGCAATTTCAAGGCAAAAGAAACACACCAGGAAGATGATAGTGCTCGTCTTCCCTAACCATCTGGGGAGTGGTTCTTTATGGTACAAGGGTGGGACAGGCAACGTGGGAAGGGGCTGGCAGAGCACAACTGGACTTCACCATGTGAGGTGTTTTTCTTTCGTAGATAACACTTACGTTTCCAGTTCTGATAACGATGAAGATGTGTTAGTTACAACAGAGCCAATTCCAGTAATTTTCCACCAAATCGCTACAGGTAATCTTATGTCCTGAGTGTTTTATCAAGTTCATATTTTGTGAGTAAAGACACAATGTTGCCTGCACTTAAAGGGAGATATGTTAATGTGTGCAGCTATACAGTTTGCTATTTTCTCACAGTCTTGCTGTAGTAAATTGTCCTACATTTCAGAATAGAAGAAATTAAAATATTTCTTTTGGGGATCACCATGATTGTGTAGGCAGAATGTATTTTATTTTTTTAATGTCTTGCAGTCTGTGCTAAAGCAATTCTCCTTGCAAGGTGCTTAATACTTCCCAATTATAAGTTTTCATGCTCACTTCCTTAAAACTTCACTAAATCTTCAGCGTTGGGGATGAAACAGTCTATAACTACCATTGCCTCTGGTGAATTATTTCAGGAAATTTCAAACACAATGGTTCAGCTGTTTCACTAAATTAGACTATAGAAAAAAAATACATTTTTTCTCAGTGATTTTGGGAACCTCTCATTTGAAATTATTTCCATACTTTAAAAAAGTATTTGATACATGTACTTTTCAGACATACGGGCACATTTATACAATACATAATCAAGATTTGTTCATATTCCATAGAGACTTTTTAGATTCTAGCAGCCAAATTCCCTGATGATTTCAGGCTGCAGGAGAAACTGCATAGAGCAGTCTTAATTCTGGCAGTTCTTCAGATAGGAACACTTGACTTTGCAGGTTTTTTATTATTATTACAATGCTTTAGGGCTTTTTTTGCGTAACAGAATTACTTTGAATTCCACTGGAAAACCAATATGATCTTCAGTCTCTGATCTCATTCATAATGATGTAAATAAAGAATAATTTTACTGAAGTCGGTGCAGTGGCACCCAAACAAAAACTGGCCGTTATAATCAGAAGTTTAAGATAAATTTTACTTGCAGGTATTTCTGTAATTTAAAAAGAAATACAGCCTGTCATTTTAAAGAGAATAAAATAAAAGAGAATAAAAACCTCTGTTTTGTGTAGAAGATGATCTGATATAATTTTGCTCAGGGGTATTGATTTTTCATTCTTTTATGAAGTATACAAAAATAATGAATGACACTAAATTGTAAGTCACAGTTTGGGAAAAACAAATCTCCTAGATGGACCAACTGAGTTTCATTTCACAGCTAAAAATATGAGTCTTCTGAGACATAGGGGCTTCTTAATTTTAGACTGTTGTATTATAAACTCTTTGATGCTTTTCATATCTGTAACTTATTGTTCCTTATTTGCTCTACTACTGCAACTAAGTATTTCAAGTCTACATATGCAAAATTATTTGACATTTTTCACAGATGTTCCCTAATTTCCCTTTTCTTTTAAGAATTAAGAAAAACCAGTGATGTCAGCTATTGCTTATCCATAAAATCAAAATTACAGAGGGAGAATGGAGAGGTATGTATTTCTTGTATGCATATTTTAACAGAAGTTATTTTAAGAAACAACAGAAAATAACATATGAAATGTTTACTACAGATTTCCTATCAAATGTGTGCTTATGCAAACTGTACATGTTTACACGTTTTAGAAAATGAGCATAGTTTTCTGGGTTTCATACGTGGATTAACCAGTGAATCACTTAGATGGGATAGGGATGCTGGCATCCTAGGAAATACGGTTTTGACGTTTATTTCGTTTTTTGTTCGACATTGGTATAGAACCTGTCTGCCCTTAAAATACAGCTCTCCTGGAGAGGTAGGTCATCATGCCATTACCTTTTAACCTACTCTTGCACATAGGACCACATCCCATTTATTAGCTCACTGCTGCTTCTTGTGGCCTACAGCAGCCCCACTGGAGGCTCTAGACCTCTGCATGACTATTCACCGTAAGTAGTGTCTGGAGTATTAAGGCCTTCCAGTCACAGTTGTATTTGTGCTGTACCTCTGGCATGGGTCCCTGACCAGTCTCACTGTGACATTAACTCAAGAAAGAAGTGGCACTAACATGAAGCCTACAGGGCTTGACAGTGTTAGGGGTTCAAAGAAAGTACCACATAGGCTCCTCCCCCAAGCAAGAAATTGAGCATTGTATCAAGAATTCAGGTGCTTGATTTAAAGATTTCCATTGGTAAGGGTGGTTGCTGAGTTTTTTGACGACTGCTTTTTAGGCTCCGATCTGTATTTGATCCTGGAAAGGGGAGATAAGCATGCCCAGATATGCTAATGTGTATGGTTGGGTTTTTTAGTAGATGAAACCTGATTTGATGTAAAAAGCTGCACTGGAAATACTTTGCTTCAACTGCCTCATCATTGTATTCAGTGCTTGGTAAACATTAGAAAAATTCAAGTGCAGGAAGAATTTACCCATTTGATTAAAAGCTTGAGATATGGTTAGCTTCTATAGGACAGAGTTCGAGCTTTTATTTTGTTTTTAGTTGAATGAGGGACTTAAATATGAATGTACTGAAAAAAAAAACACTTTAAAAAAAAGTCTAACACTGACCATTTCTGTTGGCTAGACAGTTAAGAGATTTGGTTAGGATAGGATGGGTTTGTCACTATTCTAATGTGAGAGTTTCATTTCTCTTTGTTTTGTGTGGAATTTTCGTTCAGTTGAGTTCTGTTTTAACACAGACTTCCCCTTGAGCTGAAGTTATTATAAAACAAAGAAGACTAAAATCACTTTGTTTCTTTTCAGTGAAGTAGAAGCAGAAATTATTTTTATGCCTTGTCATAGAAAATTGCTGTGAAATTGGCTGAAATACAGTTTTTGTTCTATGTATACATATAGAGCAGGAATTTAAAGGCAAAGGTAGGGAAATGGCATTAGAATGTCTGACCATAGAAATTGGTGATAAGGTTATATTTGACATTTATGAATATATGGGATTTAGGGGTAACTTCTATTCTTTGCTTCATGCATCTGATTTCTTTTGCATTATGGCAGTTCTGTGCAGGACGTAAATACAAAATAAGCAGCAAGTAGATCATGTTCAGGTTGAAGTGAAGAATTATGATTTTAACAGGTGTTCTTTAAGGGATCCTTGTCGGCATAGGGCCTAGAAATGCATGTATTGTGGGAAACAAGAATTAATATCTTCAAGCAATTACATAATTATAAGTAAAGGTTCCATTGGTGGGAAGCAGAATATAACTCTTCAGCTCATGCTGAGTTGCAGTCTGTACCAGGATCAGTTCTATTTACTTGAGTGCAATTATTCACAGAGCAGCCTATTTAGAGCAGGTTTTACTTGGGTAAGCATATTACTTTCTAATCCTTAATTTTCAAAGCTCAGAACAGAGCCAGTCAGAAAATTAAGTTTGAACTTTTCTGGCAACAGGCTGATACTTCCGTTAAAAGTAATAATTAAGCAGCAATGTGTCAGTTTTTCACAGAAGGGAACTTAAAGAGATCTCATGCTCGGACTTGAATTATTTCCTTAAAATATTAGACTGATTTACCAGAATAAAGTAAATTAAAATTTTATTAGGTCACTGAAACACCAAATTAATTAAGTCCAGAACTCGTCGTGGTGGGTAAATTATGCTTTGTTTAGCAAAAGCATAGCATGAAGTATCCCTGCATAGTCTCGTGAATTCCCCAGTACCTTAAAATACCACACTGTGTCTGTAGCCAAAGTATTATTTCTCCAACATATATTCAGGGTGTTTTTAGGTACCCAGTTAGTAGGTGCTTGTTTTGTCTGATATTTCACTATTCTTAAAACAGGCCCTTAGTACTCTTCTGGAAAAATGATACTAAAACATCTCTTAATAAAGAGTGCTATGAGCTTATTTGTAAAAACATAATTCCTGTAGTTAAAATTAGAAGTACAAATGCAAGATAAGCATATCACTTGTATCATTGTTAACTTTCCTTTTCCAATAAGGAGTCACGGCACAACAGCACAGTTGAAGACGACTCTGAAGGAGATAATGATTCTGAGGAATTTTATTATGGAGGACAGGTAATGGAGGAAATTTTTGCACACATTTCAAGAAATTAATATTTGAAAGCTTCTGTTGTTCATTCCATTATAAATTTATGATAATTAATTTCTTGCGTTTATTCAACATCGAATAGAATGCCATGTGTATATATACATAGTATTTTATAGCAGAAATATTGAATATGTTATACTGTATAATTATATCAAATTTAAAATAAGATTGGTTTGTTTACATTTGCAAAGCTGTAAGAATAGAAAAAGCAAGTACTCTTCAGAACGTTTGAAAACAGAAGCCAGTTGCTTACTTCCAGGAAATAGATATTCACTCTTTAAAGCTTATCTCATTATTGATACAAATGGGAAGTCAGGCTGGATCCAAATCTGTTTCCTTCTGGAGGATTGCCATTTTGTAAAGTCAAGAGCACTGCAATTTAATGGTAAAAATGGTTATTACAAAACAATTTTGATCTAGGCAATAGTCCATTCTTTTTCTGAGGTCTACAGTTAAATTCACCTTGAAAAATGCTGCATATTTTTAGATGAATGTACTGCTCTGTGTCTTTCCTTCTTGTTCCCTTAGCAGAATTAGTTATTATTACATTCTCTTACGTATTGCGAAATAAAATCTCTTCATCTCTTTTCCTTTTCCAGTGTCAATAGAGTGCTTCATGCTGCTAGTCTCTTTATTCAGATTTTTCTCATCTTTTTAGTCTGTCTATTGCCCCAAAGGAATCATTCCTCACTTAAGTTATTGGAACTGTTTATTTCGATGAACATTTTAACGAATTATGATTGCTGTTTATGAAAGTTGTCACTGCCTCAGCCTTGAGGCTGAAGCCATCCATGCCCTGGCTGCGCAGAGCCGAGGCTGCAGGAGCACACCGGCAGTGCCAGCCGGTTGGGTCAGTGCAGAGAGCGTGGGATGCTGATGAGCAGGACATCGCTGAGCCGCTTATCTTGCAGAGCCAACAGCGTGGTGGGGTTTGAAAACAAAATACATGCTGAGGTGCTTAACTGTAAAAAAAAAAAAGCACGCCCCTAAAAAGCTATTAAAAGTGGTATTGATACCGGAACTGAAAGAATGTATTTTCAGTGTCAGAAATAACTGACATGGAGTATTAATGCATGTTCACTTCAGAAATGACTACAGGAATTGCCTCCCTTCAACTGCTGACTCCTCCAGCCCTGCAGAGCACTGGGGAGGACTGTGTGCACATACTTCAGTGCAAAGAGCAACGTCTTATTTTAATCTGCCTGAGAGGAAAAATCTTCTGATTTTGCCCTGTAGTGATGAGTTGTGTGTACTGGCTCCATTTTTCAACTCTGCAGTAACCTCAAGGTGAAGAAAAAGGCAGCAAACAGCTGGGAGTGCTTATTTCTTGAACAAGCACTAACATTTGGTAAAGGATGTCTGCCAGTGCTCAAATGAATGAATAAATATTAACGCTGCCTATAAGAATTGAACACAGAGAGCAGTACATCATTTTGCAAGGTGTAAAAGAGCTGTGTAATAGGCAGTACTAGTTAGAATTTAGTTGCCTTATATTTGAAGTGGAAACTACATTGTATTGCATTGTCATTTTTTTAAGGTAATACATTTAATTGAAGAAATTATAACTGGCAAAAAAAAATACAGTTAGATCAGCAATAAAAATAAAATATCAGATGATTGTGAATGTCTTGAGTATAGAATATTCAAAAAGCAAAATAAGAAGAACAAACAAGCAGAAAAAGACATCATAGAAAGTATATTTAACAAGAGAGAAAAAAGGAAATTTTGAATTTAAAATTTCATGGTCAAAAAGACAAAATTCTGGATGACCTGAAGAATTAAAGACAATATTGAGGACAGAAAATGAATAGGAAATCAGGTAATGAGCAAAGTCCCTCGAGAGATGAAAACAGTCCTTTTTCAAATAAAGTGATTGTAAGAGTTATTAAGTGAGCACCAGGTGTATTGGGAAGACAAAATAGTTGACTGTATATATGGAGAACAAGCAAGGCAAGCTGCTTCATTTGAGACAAGTCTGTGCTGTGCCCACAGAGAAAGGGGACAAAAATACTAACTTTAGCAACTAGAGGGAATAGATGCCAGTGTAATTGTGTGCAATACAGTTGGGAAGGGTGGATGTCAAGGATAATTCTTAACATTTCTAAGTAGTTACAGCTGGAAAGACAAGAGAGCAGCTGGTGATGAAACAAGGAGCGTGGAAGATGGGAAATGGCATTTGATGGGCAGTGAAAACAAGATACGACCTTTTGGTCATAAATTAAATGTTTGTATCCGCTTCCTAGGCACCTGCTTGTAATCCTCCCTAAGGATTTAATGGATAAATACTTTAAAGTAGCTAAGTGATTCAATAGCCTAAGTCCTATTGATTTTCAATGGGATTTAGGTTTGTAAAACACTTAATCTCCTTTAAAAATGCAACCTTTTGTCATTATGTGGGACAAAATAATCTGAATCAGGTCTCAGATTAAAACCTGAGACTTTCTAAACACCGACACTTTGGACACAGCAAAGTTATCAGATTTTTTATCTTTTATATTCACTTTCTCTGAGATTCTTTGTTAATTCTTGCTTTGAATCTCTATCTTCCGCATTTCAAACGAGAACAGGAGATTGAAACAGTAATACTACTGCCTTTGGCACTCTCTCTCCCTCCCTCTTGTGCTTCAGTTACAAGACATACTTGCAAATGCAGATCAGATATACAAAACTCTGGCAGTCTCCTCTGCATACATCAGCATGTCTGTGGCACTAATTCAGAGGTGGAAAATACTATACTGTGGTCTTATAATTTGCCAGAACACTGCTTTGTTTCCTTTTTGAGCTTGTAACCTCTTACCATCAGAAAATAGATTGGAGACAGCATTATGTTGAGCAGTGCAGTGCTCTGCATAGTGTTCTTTTTGGATTTTACTATTATTGATATGTAAGACTAATTAAAAAAATGTGGTTTAGGACCAACAAAGGTGGTTGGTGCACCACAGCTACAATTTGTGAAATGATTGCTGTGCTCTCTTTGGAAGCAGGACAGCAATTATTTATGCATCTTTAAAGAATTCATCTTTGAGTAAAAAGGATTGATTTTCTCCTACCTAAAGTGAAAAAAAAATATAATAAATGTTTTCTTTCCATGCTCTTCTACTTGGAAAATTGTTCTGACATGCCTGCCCACACAAGAGAGGGATACTTGGCTTATACCCTTTTGGTCATGAATATTGTTTCTACCTTTGATAAACAAATGCTCATGCTATGCTGATGAGTTCTGTGCCTTATATTTGAAGAGTTCTAAGTCTAATCAAATTATTCTTTGCTAATTTTCACATGTAAAAAGTGATCAGCTGATTAGTATTTTAATTCTATTGAAATTTATTTAATTAGAGTGAAATGTACATCACCAGATATCAGAGCTGAAAGTGTCACAGCACTGGTCTCCTACAGATTTAGATATACAAACGGAAGAAAGAGTACTGCAGTTAGATATGGTTCTGCAGTAGCAGGAATTCTCTGCAGGAATTCCTGTATAAGGAGATAGATATATATGTCTAAAGGGGTAAATTACACTCTTGTGCTTTGCTCTCTGAATTTGTCAAAGGTACAAGCCAAATCCTACTCTCATTTCTGAATCTGTCCAAATCTAGGGAGCTCATCAACTTTTGTGGAATTACTGTCATTCTGATTGTTGTAAAGAAGTAGAATTAGGTTCACACAATCAGGAGCATATTGCTTAACGAGAAAGTAGTGATAGACTGTGAATAGATTGTTACAAGCCTAAAGAGCTATTTTGGTCCTTGTAGAAGATAGGAGGATATCAATTATTTTGACTTCATACAGTCCAACCAAACCAGCTCACAAGTTTTGCTTTATAGTGCAAGCACTAACATAACTGTTTCCATTTTTCCTGTAGAGTTTGAAAAAAATGGGGATGATGTCTAAATACATGTTTCTTTACACCTTCTGTGGTAAAATACTTAAAATGGGAAAATGTTCTTTATTTTTTTTTTTTTTTTAATCTGATATTGCACTGGTGGATATAATACAGCCAATGGGTAGACTGAAAATGTAATTTAGATGCTGAGACACTTGGTATATAGAATAGTTTTCATGCTTCTCTTGTTGACCCCAAGCCATTCTGTGTCTAATATGTATGAGAGTGTGACAATAAGCAAGAGGGAGCAAACCTTTGTCCTGTAGTGGCTGGACCAGGGTGATATGACTGGAGACATCTGGTTCTTCTCCTACTTAACAGTTTTAAAATGCACAAGTGTCCCAGAACAAACCCCAGGACAAGACAGGACAGAGGGATCAGTCCTTTGCAGCTTCTCTTCCCACGAACAGGAGTGGGACCCTCAAAAAATTTCAATGCAGAGCTGCCTGCTTTGCAAATCTCATTGCTTAGCAGAGCTAGACCACCTCAGTGCTTTAGCTTATCAACACAGTGTCCTTTCTGAGCTTGGCATTAAGGAGTCTTTATGCAGCATATTTTGCAGGGCGAACTTTCAAGAGGCTAGATCAGGTGCCAGTAATGAAATAAATAAGAACTCCTAGGGTTTTTTTTTTCCTGGTAGGTTAGCTATGATGGAGAACTTCACAAGCACCCACAGCTGGAGGCTGATTTGACAGCAGTGAGAGAGATCTATGGACCTAATGCAGTGTCTCTCAGGTATGTCATTGACTTTTCCTTATTGTGGAACCTTTAACATTTTGGAGATTGAGCTCCATGTGGACCTTCCCTCACTGCCAAAGCACAAGTCTCTTCTGGTGATTTCTGCGTATTGTGTGGCAAAAGGAAGGAGCACTGCTGGCTAGCAATAATGCTGGTTTGGGGGTTTGTTTGTTTGGGTTTTTTTGTGGTTGAATACTGATATAACTGGCTGTGCTGAGAATAAGCCCTGGAAGCCTGTTGAAAATATCATTGTCTTTTGCAGTTCAGTCGGTTTTTGATCAGGCTGTTGTATTTTGTTGAAAATTACTATTAAGCATTACTCTAAACCCTCGTTAAACTCCTCTTCTGTCATGTTCTGTCTTTTGCCCTGGAGGTGAACAAGAAGAATGATAAGAGATTTAGTAAATGTTTTCCCTGGGGAAAGATTGGAGGAATTGGATTTGTCTAGTCTGGGAAAAAAGAGGAGGTCATAATAACAGTTCTTCTTCTTCAGAAAAGCTGTTTGTAGATAGGAGGAGTGATCAAATATTCTCTATTGTCATCATGAGAGAGACAATAAAAAACTTAGTTGTGTTAGCAACAAACAAGAATTTGATTAGATTTTAGGAAAGCTTTTTAATTGTGGGAATCTAAAGTATCGTACACAGGGAAGTGGTGGAACCTCAGTCAGATGTGGATTGCAAAGTGTAATTACACGAAAATTCTGTTGGGCATATATGAGCGTGCATGATTCTGCCATAGGGCATAGCTGTATGATATTTTTAATATACTTCAGGTCTTTTATAACTTCATTTTCCATCTATGCAATCTTAATAATTTCATAAAAGTAACAGGTAGGCAAGATGTAACAGACCTGTCAGATGTATTACAAAGAAAATATCAAAGTTGTCATACAAACCAAGTAATAAAATAAAGAGAAGATGATAACCTTAGGCATACATATATTGCAAGTAACAATTTCCATTGCTTTGTTATTTTTGTCTAAGAAGAGGGCGCATGTCTAGAGCTATGGTGTACTATACCTTTTCAAATTAAGTGGAAATTTCAAGGACCTGGGGAATTGAAATACAAATAGTTGTATATGGGTTTAGGAAATGAATGAGATAAATGTTTAGCTGCCAAACTGATAACTATGAAATTGAGAATACCTTGATAATAGGCTCCCTCAAGCTCCTAAAATTGAAACATTATATGTAACCTTTTAAAAACTGTCATGCATCTAATTTATTGAATCAACTGTTTCATTGGAAGCATTGTGATCTCCTTGAGCTCACTGTAGGAGAAATTGGCATCTGTTGCTGCTTTTGGCATGTGGAAAACTTTAATGCTTCTTCCATTCTGTTGCAGTTGAAAATACTCATAAATTCTTGGAAATGACAAACACAGCATTAAGCATTCAGTTTCATGCCTCTCCTGCAGCTCCACTTCTCTGTGGAGAGAGAAGTCTGTCTGACAGTGACACCCACTAAGATGCATATTTCCTAGGCAGTTGACCCTCTTTTAGAATCTCTTGCTGTCACAGAGTCAACTGTACATACAAAAGTGAAATTCCTATACCTGCATGCTTTTCACCACTGCCCTTTGAAATCTGGCCACCAAGGTCTTGAGAAAGACCTCTGGACCAACTGATCCAAACCCTTCGGTATCTATTTACATTGCTTATGCACTGCTGGACCGAAGACCTCTGGGAGCTTCAAAATCAAGATGTGTTCATGGAGCCATTGTAGGTGGCAGATCAAAAGCTGCAGGTGCTGGAAGAAAACATGATTTCTTCCCCTCTTTCAGCTTGGGGAAGTAAAACTAGAGTCAGCATCATGTGTCTAAAATCTATTTTCTAGGATGGTAATGGAGTGGGGGTAAAGGGATTTCAGTGACTATGGAAATTCCACAGTTATAACTTATTTTTATCTTATCCTTTCTTGCACTAATATTTCTGTGTTTCATTAGTTCAACTATGTTTCTGTTTAATTTATAAAATTATGCTTGTTCACAGCCTTTTGAATCTCAGTTGCGAGTAACACCAGCCTGAGTTCATAAATATTACTTAAGAGTTCATAACAATCTGTTTTTTGGATCTTCTGGAAAATGAACAAAAAAACGTGAGGCCACTGTTGTGTAGGATAGTGGCTAAGCCATTCAGTAGGAGGAAAATTTCACTCTTTCAAAGCTAGGTCTTCAGTGAGCTGTGGGAGGTCAGCGAGCACCTGTACCTGTAGCTCTGGGTGAGCGGACGCTGGAGCAGCTGTCAGGGTTGCTGGGAAGCCTCCATGTAACACAGCCCTGGCCAGCCATTTATCTGCCCTGTGTATGCCATGTGTGGATGCGTGTGATCTAGAGAGAGACTTCGTGTTTGCCCTTACCAGAGAGAACCATTGGGATGCCAAGGTTTGGTGGAAGGGGTTCCCTCCACCATACTTCACAAGAGGTCAAGGCATTTCCAGTGTGAGCTAGGTCCTACCATAGGCTGAGAGGCCACTTTGGTAGGAGGTAGTTATATTTACAAAAATATTTTTGTATTTCAAAATTACCTTATCAACTTATTTATGCATAACTGCTACTGTGCACTGTCTTAGTCTAGTTGGATAGAAAAACGTGGAAGTCACTGTGAGAACAAGCATATAAATGCAGTGTAAAGAAAAAAACCTGGTGACTAGAAGCTGATCTGTGAAAAATTGAGAGTGATTGCACTTTTACAGTATTGTCCACTTAAGTAATTTAAATGAAAAGGAAAGCAATTTTTTATTTAGGTGTATGAATGAGTATTTTCTAGTCCTATTTTTCAGAAGTCTTCAAGTACGTTGGGGGAGGGTAATCAGAATGAGTCAGAAAATAAGAGGCAGAAAAGTCACACTTTAAATGTAAGATTTCAGATGGCAATGAAACACCTATGAGCATAAGTTAAATCTGAACTTTGGGGATTCCAGCAATACTACACATAACAGATAAAATAAGGTAACTATTGCCTTGAGGGCGTTACAGGGCAATCTTTATGTTTTGACAAACAAATGCTTGAATGTATGAAGCAATCCCACAGGTATAATATGCCACCCTCCAGGCTATGTTGTATTTGTCTTCAGTGATTTATCTCAAGCCTCTCCTTAGGTTACTGGCTGTTAACCTGAAATACTTCTGAAAATTAACTAGGGTTTTCTTTTGTCATAAATAGGAGCAGCATGTGACCATTATTGTTTTCTTGATTTATTTGAGCAATACGCAAGACAAAAATACATAGCAGCAGTAGAAATAATAGAATTTGTGGGAATTGGTAGGAAAAAAGACTTAGTCTGTTTAAGCAAGATCCACTGAAAGAAAAAAATTCAAGAGCGGACGGTTACCCACTAGGAATATTGATCCAATCTATGTAAATGTGTATTTTATAACTACTATTATTTTACAGACAAGATTATCCTTTATAAAATCTTCCCTGTTGTAAGTACTCCTGAATAATAGAATTTGTGGGAATTGGTAGGAAAAAAGACTTAGTCTGTTTAAGCAAGATCCACTGAAAGAAAATTCAAGTGCAGCGGACGGTTACCCACTAGGAATATTGATCCAATCTATGTAAATGTGTATTTTATAACTATTCTGATTTTACAGACAAGATTATCCTTTATAAAATCTTCCCTGTTGTAAGTACTCCTGGGCTGAGGAGTATCTCAAAGAGCTCTAATGCAATGTAATTCTTTCCTTTCAGGGAATATGGAGCCATTGATGATGTAGATATCGATCTGCATATTGATGTTAGCTTTCTTGATGTAAGTAATCTAATCACAGAATTACATAATGATCTTTAATACCCATTTAATTCTGCTACACACCAGACTCTCTAGGCAGTCACTGAGACAGTCCTTTTTCGGAGGCTTGATCTTCACAAGTGGCTGTCACATTATTGATTGCTACTCAGTGGAAAGGTTTCCTTTTCCTTTTATGATCACATTGTTAAAATGCATTGTAGGCTTTATTTACCGCATGTGTATTTCCTTTCAAACATGCTTTGTAAATGGTAAATGTTTTAACTGATATAAATGAAATACATTTCTTTTTTTGCTATCCTAGATGTTAGTTAGGTGAAAGCACTTCATAGAGTCCTGGAGGGAAGAAGACCTTGGCTGGAGCTCTCCTGTGTGCTTCTCAACTTCTGCAGCTGGTTAGGGAGAGGCTTGAGTGGCAAAGGAGACATAGGACAGTGGTGCTGTCGACTGGCAGCATGGCTTCTGTAACACTTATGCTGTCATTAACTCCATACTTCCTCATATCATCTGTGCAGTAACTCCCTGTCCTCTAGATAGAGAATAAAAATTAGTGGTTTTAGGGGCATCATTAGCTTCTGCACAGATATGTCATATTCTCAGGTCAGCACAGCACGTAAGATAGTTGTTCTTGGGCTTTTCTGAAATTTAAGAAAATCTGATCGTACCTTGAATTATTTTGATCAGTCTTAAGGAGCAAAAGTTTCCTTTGCCCTGTGTTATGGGATGAGTTTCCTTTCCATCTTTATTAGCTCCTTTGCTTCTCAGCTTTGAAGCAGTATCTCTTGATAGATGGGAATGTGTTTGCCTGCACTGTAGATGTAGTGTTGTGTATAAACCTGTGCTCAGTTTAAATGACCATACTCAACAACTGGAAGCAATCTAACACTGCTCTTAGGGGCATCAGCAGTTTGTCCTAAGTCTCAAGTTTAAAGTTGGAGTAGATATTCCACGACTGGGTAAATGGATGGATGGTGTTTATAACGACCCTAAGGTAGACTGACAAAATGCAGCAGTTCCTCATGATGACTAATGGTGTCTGTTGTTTTCTTTTTATCTTGAACTAGGAAGAGATTGCTGTGGCTTGGGATGTAATTCGCACAGAGCCTATAATAGTGCGATTGCACTGTTCACTTACACAGTACTTAAATGGTCCAGGTTAGTCTCTTGTGTATTCTTCATGTGCCTTGTATGGTGTCTCGGTCTGAGCCATGTACTAGGTGACAGATACTCATTCACCGCCAAATCTTTGACCCTGCATGTGCTCAGATCTACTGCTGAGAGCAGTCCTACTGGTTTGAAATTATGCTTACATATATTTGCACGGCTAGGCCCTCAAAAATGACATAGGCATCTAATTTAAACTTTCATAGGTTGATTTTTGGAACTTGTTTTCCTGACATCCTTTGAAATGCAACTGCTTCCCCTAGGAACCAGGGTTAAGGAATAAAGATCTACAGTTTCTAATATGTGATTTCCTGATTTTGGAAATCAGGGATCATCTGCACAGATGAGATATCACTGATAAGGTATACTTACACAGACCTGTGCAGCACATTAATGTGCCCTTTTTCATGCACCTTTGAAGAATCGGGACATGATAATTATCCTTTCAGCTTCTGATTTCTGTATGACTCTGTGAACTCTGGGAATCTTTAGATTTGAATGAGTTGTTAAGTGAGTAAAGCTTCCTCGTGAGAGTAAAAATGGTCAAACTCCTGAAGAATCAACTGATTTTGAAGATTTGGAAACATTCATATGCAAGAGTCAACTTCAGATATATTTTTACAGTGGGAAGTCAGAACTAAGTTGCAATTTGGATCATAACTTGCCCGGCTTTGGACGCTTCCAGTGCAAGCTGTCAGTTCAGGCTTGTATCTGTGGGAGAATTCTGCCTCTGGAATATGAATAGATATTTCCAGTCATAATTTGTTTAGCAAAATCTGTCCCAATGAGCTATTTTTATAGGATACGTTGCCTGCTGATGCTAACTATAAGCTATATTCTGTTCCTTCAAATAAGCATTTCATTGCATCAATCTTTTTTTTTTTTTGCTTGACTTTGGTCTTTTTGTCTGTATTTTATTGCTTCAATCTTTTTTGTAAATATGCAGATCTTAAAATATGTATTTGCCATAGCAAGTAGCAGTGTTAGTATTCAGAATATTTCTATCAAAATGTAATTTAAAAAATAAAAAAGTGCAGCAAATAAGAGAAGGTGAAGAGTGAAGAGCAGCATGCAGTAAGGAATGATCTAGTGAAATGAGAAGTAACAAGAAGATATCTTCTGCACTGTTGACAAGGTTAAAATGGGAAGCTTAGTTCGCAGTCATGCAGCTGACTGATTGTGGGAGTGCCTGAGTACCAAGAAAGGCAAGATCAAGGCCAGAGGCAAGTGCTTCGCTGATACTGGTTTTATGAGCTCAGCTGCTGTTGCAGCCATATCTCTTTATTTACCAGGAAAGGACAATGAGATCCACCATCTTTTGTGTTAACAAGACCCTTTCTCTGTGAATTCCTCTTCCCCCTTAAATATGTTGGTTTGAGACCTACTGGGTCAGAACTTTATGCTACATCTTTTTCTCCTATAGTATTTTCTGTTGATTGATAAAAGAAGCAGAAATGCAGTATACTCCAAAGCACTACAGGGGGTATTCGTACCACCTTGTAGCTGTGTAATATCCTGATTTTAGACAGTCATTCTTCTAGTTAATAGCTTGTCTCATTATTGTACTTGTGGGCAGTTTCTCCCATGTGCCTTAGAAACCTGTCTTAGGTGAGGATGAATCAGCCTTCAGAGGTACAGGGCTGTCTCCTCTGGCTGTAGAGCTTAGACAACAATTGTAGTCTAGATGTCAGATTTTAAGATTGCTGGTCTAGGCATGACGATTCTCATTGAAAATACTCACCCCCCACCATGTGTCCTAAATTTGACAGTCTAAAGACATTGCTACCCCTAATCAAATCATTCATCCCTTTTGAAAAAGTCATCAGTTTATCTTTAAAAGATGAGATTATATTTGAATAATAACATTAGGGAAAGGGTATCTACAGGGCTTTGAACTAAGTGACATTGGGTGGCCAGGTTGGATATATTGTATTTTATTTTTAATTTATTAAAGCGAAATTAAAGGATAAACTTTGACATTCTGAGTAAAATTTGGCTTTTTGAATGATCAGAATAATACCGATTTTAAAATACTGATTTACTTTTTCTAATAAAATTTGAACCAACCCCAGATTTTTTGTTTTCATTCCTTTTTTATTTTACTGTAGTCATTACCACCTTATGTAATACGAAGTATAAAGTCAGTTCGTGCTTGTAATATGTGTTAGCTGTTGTCCTGCCTTGAGGACCTGAGGCGGTCTCAACAAGTGCTGGATTCCATCTGCCACTTCTATCTAGTAAATGTTATTAAAGGATTTTAGTAATACCAGGAGATAATTTCCAGTCTTCACCGCTTCACCCTGTACACTTTCAATTTTCTGACGGATGAATATAGATATACCAATGTTAGGATGGGTCTTGAGGAAAATTCAGGGTAATTCTTGGCCACTGGAATTCATATATCAGGCACTTAGATGATGATTATGGATCTTGTATTAAAACCCAGAAGGAAAACCCAGATACTAATTAATTCAGTTTATTCCACTTTGAGTTTTCTTCGTAGTCACAGGAACTGTAGTGTGTAAAGACTACTTACTTGGAAAAAAGTTTAAGAGGTTAGGCAAGATGAATTACCAGTCCAGATACGTTTAATCTGATGCTGCTCTCTAGTACTTGCATAATATAAAAAACAAAGACACATTTTTGTAATCAAAATTAGTGGGAAGATACACATTTGAGGAAATTCAATTTCTAAAATACTTATTTGTAAAATTACAAATTATATTGGCTGATATCCCAAAAAGGACCATTAATTTCTTAATAGGCTTAGGTGACATGCCCACTTTCACCATTGCTTCAATGGCCTTGTCTATAGTAAAGGTGCAGATAGAACAGGATCCTTAAATCGGACTTATATGGTCATGAGTTCTTGATTATTGCCTTAAGTTCATATATCAATAGTATCTCCTTTTTCCGTAGTGCCAACTGTGGATGTATTTCAGATCTCTACTAAGGAAAGATTTGGGCTGGGACATCAGCTGAAAAAGTAAGTCTAGTAAACCCCTGGTTTTAGGCAAATATTACGCTCTTTAGTTTCTGGACCATGTCAAGTAGGATAATATTCACAGGTTGTCAGGTTGGTTGGATCAAAGTGTTTTGAACTTGTTTTTCTTTAAATAAAAAATAAGAGGATTTGCCTTTTTAAGTTCAGTTTTGACAGTTGTTGGGGAGAACCTGATTTGTGCTGCCTGCCAGCATTTTCTGTCACTTTGGTGCTGTTTAGGAAGTAAGCTACAAAAGTTCAAAAGACTGTAGCTAGGAGTGTTCAATTTCATGTTTCTGCTTAGATAGTGAAGCCTCTGGAGCAGGAATCTTTTTGAGCATCATGCATACCCTAAGGGGGCTATGCTTTCATGGTGGCCTCTGGGATGTACAACAGTAATTAGGCCATCCCCGTTTTGAGGACAAGAGGGAAGAATAGTTGAAAAAATTAGCAGTTTCATGTGTTCATGGTACAATTAAATTTAATAAAATTTTGCTGAGTCATCTTTTCACATATGCTTGTGTATGTGTAATAAAATAACAAGAATATAGGCTTTAATATCTGACCATTGCAATATTAAGAATCCCTTAAGAAAAAAAAAATCTTTTGCTTTTTGGTGTTTAAAGAAATTCAGTGCAGCATTTTCATAACCTTACAAATGAAGCAATGTTACTAAAATCTCTATGGTACATGACTTTGAAGAAAAAAAATAAAAAGCTCCCCAGACATGAACAGTCTCTTAAAACATTTCAGTACTTAACACTGTCTCTGATTTGTGCACCAGTTAATTACTAAAGGTTCCCGTAAGACATTTTCAAGGACATAGCTGCATAATTCACAGTTGAGCAGAAGTCAGAATACTGACTGAACTCCATGGCCCCTCATGGCTGTGGCAACAGGATATTGATCTTTGAAGATTCACTAGATTTTCAATAAAGTCCATACCAACTTCCACTTTGACTTTATCAGTCAGAGACCCCAAATGCTAGATTAGAGTCACAGAGTAATTTGGCTTGGAAGGAGCTACTGGAGATCACCTAGTGCACCCTCCTGCTCCAAGTAACACTAACTTCAAAGTTAGATTAGTTCACTCAGAGTCTCAGGCAGCTGAGCTGTGAAATCTCCAGCCTTTGTGGGCAAACTATTGTACTTAACCACTCCTCTCGTGGATGTCTTCTTTTTATAGTCTTTATGTTTTTTAGCTTTCCTTGCTACAACTTGTGACCACTGCCTTTTGCTGTCCATCTCCGGGAAGTGTCTGGCTCTGTCTTCTCTGTAAACCCTCTCTGGGTAGTGTAATACTCGACATCCCTACCTTCATGTTTGTGCCTTAGGAGAATATGCTCCTACTTGAGCAGTGTGTATACTGTAGCCTGCCTCTGTAGTCACTGGAGAGACAGATGCCTGTAGTTGGATGGGATGCCTTTGAATCAGTTTGTCTCTAGATCTCCATGAGAGGCATACCTGCATAAGTCTTGCAGTGGTTGTTTATGCAGACTGTATTCTCAGTAAGAGTTCCATGTAAATTAGTTTTATGTGGAAAAAAAGGCATTTTTGAGGAGCTGAGGCACCCAATCATCAGTCCACATACATGACAGAAAATCTCTCCCTGTAGAGTGAGGAGATTGCATCATGTTGCCTACGTGGTGAACAGAGACACCCTAGTATTAAAGTGAGTATGTCTTGGCTAGGATAAGAAAATCTTTTTTTCTTTCTTAATTTGCAGAATCATGCAGACGTTTGTTACACAACAATGGAAGAACAGCAAAGAGAAATCTAATTGTACGCACAATAAGAAGGTGTCTGACAAAAAGGTGAAATCCCCTCTGCACATCTTTTCTACATTGCGCAGGTAATAGCAAGGAAAATGAGCTGTTAACACCATATCCTGTTCAAAATCCACAGCAGACTTCACAAGGTGAAATGTTGACTTTTCTCCACAGAGGAGTGCTCTATTTATATCTTACCTCATGGATTTCCAGTCCTTGCCTTGCATGACATAAAAGTGAACTAGGTACTACTGCAGCTTCTAAAACTATTTGAAGGCAGAGCATTTCAGTTCCCTGCTCTCTGAAACAGCCATGTTTCATCTAGAATTGGAAAGAATTAATTTTATATTATTTAACTTGTATTTGCATCTTTATAGCTTGGTAGCATTTGACTGTTACTTGAATAGCAAGAATATAAATATAAGTAATATATACAAGTAATATATAACATAATAATATATATATTATATATATATAAAAAATTTTGTGGTTGTCTAGCTGTTCTTTCCACAGCTGTGCATATTTTTAATTTTTTAAAACTAGAATGGTCATTAATGAAAGACTGATTTTTAGAGCTGCTGAGCGCCCATGCCTCTCCACTGTTTGAGTACATTAATGTTCACTACTTCTGAAATGCAGGCACAGAATTTCAAAGAACAAGGCATTAAAAACATGAGAAGTAGCTTATGAATAGTTCATTTGAATTCATTATCACTTCTGCCAGTTACTTATACTCTTAAGTGTGTATAAAATCAGGCTCTGATTTTACTTCTTTCAGGAATGTGACTGTTTACTCTAGCATGTTTTCCTGCTTATGAAGGGTTGACAGATCACCCCTTCTGTGAATTTGAATCGAATGTTTCTTTGAACATTCCTTCTTTTTGACGAATTTTGCCATTCTAAATTCTGTGTATAAAAAAGAGAGGGAGTACAGCGATCACTCACATCAAAGAAGGGAGGAATGTCAAAGATGACAAAAGATTGTCTTTTCAAAGCTAGAAGAGGAAGATGGTGTTTTAAGTAGAAAGCTTACCCATTCCCTATCATGCCACACACCGTTGCCTAGCGCAGGCTGTAGCTTAGGCTTTGGGTTTATTCAGAAAGGGCATACAAAAGCCAGCCCAATCTTTCTCCTCTTGATTTGGCTGCTGCTGCAGTGCCTGTCCAAAGATGGCTCAGCCCAAATGCAGGGACCCCTTCTCTTCCTAGAGCGCTATTCCTACCTCCTGTCTGCAGGAGGGTGGTAGTGAGCCAACTGCAACAGTGAGTCAGCAACCTCCATGTGCATCTTCTACTGTCACCACTTGCTAACAGGGTGGGGAAACCTGCCAGCCTCTCCCCTTGGGGTTTCACCTCTTTTCTGTTCGATCCAAGCCCAAAAAATACTCCAAAGACTGGGGTTGCTTGTAAAGCATAGAAAAATGATTCAGCATACCTGTTATGTGTTCTTGCTTTGCAAGGACAGGCGAATGTGAACCTTACAGAAATGTGACAGTTCATGTGAATGTTGTTTCGTAAAAACCTTTTGCTCTTTACTTTCTGCATTCATAATTTAGGTCCCTCACATTCTCATTTCTAGTGTTATAGAGCTAGAATTTGTCTAGAACAGGAAAGAAGGGCATCAAGTTGTCTGCCACAAAGCACCCGGATCATTATGAGGTTTTTAAAAATAATGTTCATTTCAGCTGAATTAGATTTGATTTACTGCCTGCAAGTTTCACTGCTCATTATATCTTCCATCTGGACATAGAATTTGTTATGCTGTGTCCAGAAGACAATAACTTTAATGGGATCATGCCATGATGATTACATAGGAAAGATAGATTTTGATAAGGCAAATGTGTTATAATCTCATGTGAAATATGTGGTTTTAATTTCGAAGATAATTTCCTGAATAAATGGTTTTGTTTACAGACATAGAGACCTTTACAAAGAGCTGTAAAGATATAGCTCTAACTTCTACTTAATTAGTCGTCTTTTTGATCAATGAGCTTGTGTGTAAATAGGAGTAAGATGTCTATTTGGTATTGGAAAATTAGTCCTACGTACAATTGCTCATTTTTTTAAAGTTGAGCTGTGTTTATCACTAGTGAAATACATAAAGACAGGTGACACAAAAATTTTTACATATGTGTGGTCTTGCTTGGTTTGCACAAGATTCTGATTATTCTCCAACTTTGTCTTCTTTATTTTTAAGGTCGCCAAGTTATCCTCCACCTGGCTGTGGTAAAAATAAATCAAAACTGAAGTCAGAACAGGATGGCATCTCCAAAACTCACAAGCTACTGAGAAGGACTTGCTCTAGCACAGTGAAGGCGGAGGATATGTGTGCCACAAAATCTCACAGAACCTTTGGCCGCTCATTGTCGAGTGACCCTAGGGCTGAACAGACAATGGCTATTAAATCGCACAAACTGTTGAACCGTTCTGGCTCTGCAGCTGTCAAGCAGGAGGAGTGCATCACTTTAAAGCCCCATAAGCTGTTAAATAGGTCATGTTCTGGGGACCCTCGATGTGAGCACAACAGCACCTTGAAGCCCCACAAACTTTTAAGCAGGTCCTACTCCAGTAATCTTAGAATGGAAGAATTGGATGGATTGAAGAATCACAAGTTACTCAGCAAAACTTACTCCAATGCCCCTAAATCATCCAAAATGGAGCCTTTCAAGGAGTCCACCATAGCAGAGAGCAGGAGGCTCTCTCTTACCTCAGGGCTTATTGGTATCTTAACACCATCTTCATCATCACCTTCACAAGCTGCTGTGCGTAATAATTTTTTTATTCTGCTCATTTTCCTCCTGTTCTTTTCCAAATGTGCTGTTATGCTTGTTATGCAAAGGCATTAATACTTAGGATATATGTTAGTGAATATATTGGATATATTGAATGTATTGGAAGACAAAAGCAATGGAGTCAGCTTTTTAAGGAGGATTTTAACAACTGTGCATGCACATATATTTAAGTTATAAAACCAGAATTTGCTTAGGTCAAGACAGAGATTTTACGTCACGTTGAATACAGCTCAATGTACCTGCTGGCCATGGGAAAAGTTAAATCATCCATTTCCTTCCCTGCCTCTTTTCTTGCTGCAGGAAGAAGGGAGAGTGTGCACTCCTGTGCTGCAAAATTGGCTTGGTCACACAGGTCTTTTCTCATTTCACTGGTTGCTTTGTCGGGGAAGCAGCCGTCCATTGGCTTGTTTGGATGCCAAGGCACCTCTCCTTCTGGTCTTTGCATCGGTGATCGTCATCATAGTGGAAGGAGCGCAGTCATGATTCAGCTCACCTCTTGCGCATTTGTGCTTTGTGAAAGGTTTAACGTTCAAACGCGCTGGTGGCAGCTGGAGGTCGGGGAAGGAATTAGGTCCACACTGGCACCCTTTCTTTCCCCAGACACATGATCGATTGGGAAAACAAAGCATAGCACATATTCTTAAATTTAAGAAAGAGAGCTCAAAATTAATTCTTCTGCCTCTGCCTCTTAAAAGATGGCTTTTATACTTTAGAGGAAAGAGTGGGTCTGTTTGCACTCTTTCAAGGCACCTGTCTGTTTTCTGTGTTAGATCTGGGGAGAGGCACTTAGACGACAGTCCTCTCCACTCCTTTAGCCTGGTGGTACCTTGATGTTCTCAGCAAGAAAAAGCTGATTCTTGATTGAAATGCCATACATATATTCAAAATAGTTCATTCTGAATAATGAAATTACATTGAGTATGCTATGTCTCATGGTAAATTAGTTTAATAAGCTGTGAGCTATACTCATCAGATCTAAAAGCAGTGATATAGTATCATAAAATCATTTATATACATGCTGTCGTCCTGTAATGGGCACAGCAATATTAATTTAAGGTGAGCCAACAGACTTTTTACTTGTCACAGTTTAGAGGTGCATTTTTTTCTGAATCAGCAGAGGATGTCTTGACATAGCAAGACTTTTCTCTCCTGAAGTTAATAGGAGAAGTCCCATTGATTTTGATAAGATAATGAAGAGTTGACTAAGTGGTTTCATCACTGATGTTATCAGCTGATATGGAAGAAATGCAAGCTCTGCTTGGCAGTCTATAAAACCTACCAGTAATTTATTGCTAGAATGCATTTACTTTGAGGGAAAATCATCACATACATGGTCAGGTGCAGTTTGACTGATGTTAGCGGAAGGGCATCAACAGTCCATTTCACATTTTACATGTAGGCACCAGATATATGGGTAGCCTGGGTGCCTAACTGCAATTTGAAGTCAGTGGAATGTGGAAGCGATGAATTGGGACCCTAACTTCTCTTCAGTTCTAAGCTAAAGTATTTCAATCTCATATATGAATACAATTAGGAGGGTTGTTTCCCAGGAGAAAAAAAGGAGAAGTTTCCCAATTAAGCAATTAGAGAAATGAAAGGAAATAAGCCTATAAACAAAACAAAAAAAAGCTGTTAATGGAGGTGATCTGACTCTTACTCAAAACAAGGTTTGATTGAGACAGATGTCAGCCTAGAGGAATTTTGTACCTTACTGACTCCTGTAACAGAAGTTCTTTGTAATTTATGTTGCTGTGTGTTGAAAGAAAAAGGCAGAAAGAATTTGAGTGAGATCTGAGCACAGAGATCTGTTAGCGTCGTTCTTACAGAAGTGAGATCTTAGTAAATATGAAAGACAAAGATTTTCAGCCGTTCTGAGAGTTACATTAGTCTTTCAAGCCTAAGCAGATAGCCCATATTTGGATAGAAAAATATGCAGTTAAAATTTAATGGAAGTTACCAAATGCCAGTTTATTAGAATGGAGTGAAGGCCCTGATGTTTCCATTTGAGATTAAAGTGTTTGGGATGCTGAGATACAAAACCTCATCAGATTTAAGAACTAAAAAGACATGCTAAAAATCTACCCCACACTCAGCAAACAGTAAAAGGATTGATTATTTGTAAGGGCTGTTTTTTGCAGATGAGAGATCTTTTTAGATGCAAATATTGTTTAATTAACATATTTGCATGCAAAAAATACAAGTATTTTACCATTTCCTTATAATTAGTCTGCCAACACTGAAGTTGCCTCAACTTTTTCCTTGCAGCAAAATTATGGTGCAAAATGCATTCCGGTACGAGACCGTGGCTTTCTTGTGCAGGTAGGATGTCATATCTTACCCATTTATAAAACACTGTGGAGCATGAGCTGACTGTTAATTATTTTTAAGCAGATGTTGTTATTCTCATTTTCATTGTTCTCAGACTATTGAATTTGCTGAGCAGCGGATACCAGTATTGAATGAATACTGTGTAGTTTGTGATGAACCTCATGTGTTCCAGAATGGCCCAATGCTGAGGGTAAGTGGTGTGCTTGCTGGGATAAACAATGCATTTTATAATGCCTTAAATAGCAATGGACCATACAAACCTGTTATAAAACTATTGAATTATTTCAGATTCGTTTCATCCTAATATCTTTTTAAGATGCGAAAATGTAACGCGTATTAACTAGATTTTGCTGTGAATTTGAAAAAATTGTATTGCAAGCAAGGGAGATGGAGATCGGGCTTTTATAATACCATAGAAACATAAAGGGGGGGATATATTTCACTGAACGCTGTTGTGCTACAGTGGTCACAGCCAGATAAGATAGAGGAAGTGCATTAGAGTGCTTTCCCAGTCTGGCATGCTTTTAAAAGCTTAGGGTCACCTCAGTCCTTGAGCTCTTATCAAGCCATGACCAGGGTATTCAGATACACTGTTGTTAATGCCACCAGGCTGTGAAGTTCTTCTGACCCTCTTTTGCTCGTGGGCCGCTGGAATGAGCCATCCTCCATAATGTGATAAAAAAGGCAGTAGAAGGAGGTGCTCTGTGATGTGTCTGATCTAGCAGTGACTAGTCCAGGGGCACTGTTGTGGTTCAGTATGCCCAAAGTCTGGCCAGTTAGGCAGCACTTCCTTCCTTTCGCTCCTGTATAACTGGGAACCAGGAATTTTGCACGCTGAACGTTGTACCCTCTCATGCTGTTGGTGGATGCATACAGTGAAAAAGAGTAAGATTGGTCATGAGAGACACACTCTACCTGGAGCTACTGGATCAGTGCAGCTTTGTGGAAGAATATATTAGGAGAATAAAATTCTTACCTTTAGGACTGATCTTGCAGTTTAGAATCCTTTTTTCACCTGTCCTGAATCCTATGGAAACCTGAGTAAACTTAAAAGATTAAAGCCATGGAAAACTGTTTAATACCAGTGTGTGAATGGTTTGACACCTGCCAATTTCTCCACGGTGTGGCGAGCAACTACACATATGTTGAAGCAGACATCATCTATGATAGTTCCATGGAACTAAATTCAGGAACGCTATTGCTTACACTGTAGCAGAAGTCACCCCAGTGTCATCCCCTGTGACACTCAGTGGCACCACGGTCAGGCATTCTGACTGGAGGCAGGGTATGCAAATAGGCTGCTAATAGGATTTGCAAAAACATCTACATATTCAGTTAACACCATTTTAAGTCATGGTTAAACCTCTATACTTCTGAAAATCCTATTAGGTGTTCTTTTGCCTCTTCAAGATCATATCTACCTTTTAAAAACATAGTTTCTGCCAGATTTATCAGCAACCAAACCCTGATTAGAAGCCTGTAGAAAAGGCATCAGTTCCTTGTTGTTCATCTTTGAATGCACTGCTATGCATATTACCTGTGACAAGATGAGATAAGACAAAATGAGTAATGTTTGGATAGTGAGTAAAGTTTGGATAATATAATGATTTAAATTATTGGGTTTTATCTATTGTCCATAGGACAAAGCAAACAGTAGGATTTATTCCTGTTCACATGATGAACTATTAAAAGAAAACAGAATGGAAAGTCATCTGCTCTAAATAAAAAAAATCCCTCAGAATTACTTTTCTCTGTCTTCAGCTTAAAGAGGGGTCATTTTAGCTATCTGTTTGAGAGTTTGTCAGCACTTCAAAACAGGAAAGTGCAAACATGTTTGCCACTAAACATATATTCATCGGTGCCTTTACAAGCAGCATAACCTAGCAAGCTTTGCAAAAATGAAAGGGTGTCCTTATATAACCCAGGGAGAAGGAGATCTAACATGCTCTGTGTATGCTTGAATGACTCAATAAGCAATATAGAGCCATTAATGAGTTTGCAGTTCTGTGGGAAGGTGAGAAAAGATCTCAGTTTGAATCGAGCATGAGCTTGCCAAAGGGTCTTAAGGAAATTTATGCTTCATTCTACTGAGAGCTCTGGCAGAGGCAGCCTAAAGTAGTCAATTGTAGGGTTTATTTACATACTTCAGCTGCACACACACATACACGTACATACATATGTACATATATATAATGTATATAAAGAGAATAGAGAATGAGCCAACTGAAAGAGTACTTTATGTTTAATACTGCTGCAACAGCAGATCTCAGAAATACAGTACTTTATTAAGCAGAATGCAGGGGGCTTTCATTTAAGACAAGGCTACATGCAATCTTGCCTTATGTCACTTAATGGATCCCATATGTAGCATCCCTGGCCTTCATAAAGAGCTTTAGAGCGCTCATACTTTTGATACCAAGTAACTTCACCAGGTTTCATAATGATCAGAAACTTGCTATGGTCTGCTTATATTTTTAGATTCTGTGTCTAGATCCGGTTTTCTACAGATGTCCATATCTCAAAGGCATTACTTAAATAGGCTCTATCTGTAGTTCGTTGTATCACAAGAGATGCCACAGACTAAATAGCTCTGGATGGTTCACCAGGCTCTTCCTTTAAAGAATAGTTCTTCCAGACAGTTGCACACAGGGTCATGTCTGGGTGTGTGTATCCTTAATGATGAGTTTCCCTTTTACCTTTTGGACCTTTTTTTCAACAACAAAGAAGGCATATGAATTTATAAAAGCATAGCAAAGTTACTGCTTGAGAAGTTATTTTAAAATGTATTTAGGCTTGATTTTCTGGTATTTAATGGAGTTTATGCAGTTGCAAAGAAAGCAGTAAGGAATTTGATTCTGTAATCCTCCAGTATGTCAGCCTGACACCTTTCCTGAACTATAGTGCAATTAATTGTCTTGAAATGCAGTTTAAAAAATTCAACAATTGCCATCAGAAAATAATTACATTCTTTTAATACTGTAAACTCTCATACCTGGGTGTAAGTTTTTGTCCTGGCTATTAATGACTTGCGTAATTCAGATGTCTCATCCTCAGGACCAGCTGAAGATACCAGGTGAAACTGAGAGATAAAGTTTTTCCTTCCTGGAGATTTGCTTTACAGACTATGTTTTTATCTTAGTTATAAAGTATCTTTAAATCAGTCTCTCTCAGCACAAGCTTTCTTCTCAGTATTGTGTTTCTTTGTCCTAGATAACTTTTTCTGGGGGGTGTTCTGTTTTTAATATCTATTTCAATTTACTTTGTTTTCTTAAAATCTTGACATCTTATTTCCCGTAAAATAAGAGCAACTTGATGACAACAAGATACGTCTTTTTGTGTAACTTAATGTAGACACTAGATCCACATGGCAGACATACCATTGTATGGAAGATGTCTGTTGCAGAACAGCTGCATAACACAATTGTATATGTTTGGCTTTATGCTCTTACAATGGAGACTTACCTTGCTCCAGAGCCCATGGTACTAATCTAATCATGCAGATGTTCCCTGCTGGTTCAGGGATCCTGTTGTACACAGGAATCTTTGGATGTTGTTAGGCTATCTTAGCCACTTATTGAGGATAAATAAAGAGGCTACCTTAGTGACTTACTGAAGATGAATAAGGACAAAATTCTTAGATTTCTCTTGGGAATTTCTTTACGGAGCGAAGTATGGATCTTTCAGAACAACCAGTTTTCTTTTGAGCTTCAAAAGTTCCCTGAAATACAGAAGACCAGAATTACAGATACAGTTCCTGTGTGTACTCCACAAGTGCATGTATAGATAAAAACACATTATGTAGATGGGGTAACTTCAAAACACTCACAAACCTAATGCTCTCACAAGGAACTGCAGCTGTATTACTGTGAAGGGCAGGGACAAAGGTTCTCTGGAATGGAAGAAGAAGTCTTAGAAAAGTACTATAATGCATCATGAAGCTATAACACTCTTCTTTATAAAGGTCCATGGTCCATTGCTTCATTCCATCCCCTTTTTAAAAAAAGTAGTAAAGTAGGCAATGCTTTCCTGTAGGTATTCACACCTTTCCCATATGAGATGAAGATTAATGTAATTTCTCATCATAGCATGTTTTTTTAGTGTTTATTTCAAGAGCACAGTGAGATCTAATGATAATTTACAGTGCACCTGAAGTTATAAAAGCTAAATTGGATGTTTAGAGATACACACTTATATAGAATGCCACTGAAAACTGCAAATTCCTGAAATCACTTCATGGCATGATTTTCAGTCTTTCTGCAAAGCACGGGGAAAATTCAGTGAATACATGGATCCTAAGAAGAAAAAGTATTATTTAACCTCTTGCATAACATAGACCATACTATTTCACGTGGTTATTCCTAATGGTGATCTGAATCCTACATATTTCACTCTTCACAGAAGGATTAAGAAACAGCTTTGAAATCATTAGCAAGGGTTGGGACTGCAGCCTTTACATCCAAACAGCTCCCTTATCTCATGTAAAGAATCACAGTGCATACTCCTGCAAGGAAAGCTGTGCTGCACAGCTCTTAGGAGCTCTGCCATCAGTCTCTTCTGAAGCAGGTCTTTGCTCAGCTTTGAAAAACAGTGGGAAGTACAAGGTCAGACATAGGTTTTGTACTGAGGAGAGACGGAGAAGGCAGACCTGGTAAACCTACTGAAAACAATAAAAGAGTCTGCTCATTTGAATCACTAGCCTTATGTTACTGTCTTTGAATTTGTTCTCAACAGAGAAGTTGTTTAGATGAGTAAGACATGGACTATTATTTGTTTGTAATTAATGGCTAGATTTGAATTGTTTCAAAAACGTATTTTGAAATGCTTTTTTTCTGACATGTTCAAACAGTTGGTATATCATTCACACATTGTTAAAATAGTTAAATAGATTATCTTGGTTTCTGTCACAAACTACCATATTAGATTAAATATTAGAAGTAAACTTAGGAAATTTTAATGACTTTCACAAAGCCCATTCTGAAGTACTGAGATAGTCTCCCATGGGGCATGTGTCTCTAGTGACAAGCCCTTGAAACTGGAGCTTGTTTCATCCACTGTCCTTCACTGGCTTTTGAAAATCTCCAAGGATGGAGACTCCACAGCCTCTCTGGGCAACCTGTTGCAGTGCTTGATGAAGCTTTAGAGAAAGCTAATTTTAGCTTTATCTAAAACCTTAGACAAAGTTTAGATAAA